AACACATTTCCCTCATTAATAATGAAAATTTATAGAAAGGGGACGGAAGAAAGGTGGTGGCTGGTGGAGAACCGTGCCGACTGTAGTTCGGACTGCAACTCCCAGAAACCTCAGGGGACTGGGATCAAAGGAAGAGGAAGTGACAATGCACATGAGGGACCTACAGGGAAGTGGAGCCAAGGCAGCTCTGCCGCTCAGCTGGCAGCAGTCCTACAGTAGCTATGTTTGCCATTTGACAAACCGTCTGCCCCCACACCCTTAATTTTGCACAGCCCTGACAATTTTAAATCGGTAAACATTTCAATAAATACTTAAAAATAAACATTAATATTACCTGTCAAAATGATTAACAAACAAACAGTGAATTCTGCCAAGCCCACGTATAGAGGAAGTCTAGATAATTAATCCAGTTGAAATGCCTTTGGAAATGTAGGTAGGAACATGGCAACTCTCGGTAAAAGGGGATTGTCAGGAAGAGCAGAGCTCCTAAGCAGCGAAGATCTGTTTCTGTGCAAAATAGAAAGAACGAACAAGGTATCTTATCAAGGCCTCAGAGTCCTGGAGTGCAAGGAAGGAGCACAAGCCATCTCCAAACAGGGTGCTCTTCCCCATTGTTCCCCATGAAGCCTAACGCTTCAATGTTTGGAAATAAAAATGCAGAAGTTCGAGCACTGCTGACAAGGCATCCCTCACCAGCACAGCACGAAATGATTCAGAGCAGAACCGTTTCAGGAAAGGCCTCATCCCAAGCTCTTCAAACAAGCAGCCTTAAGGTCTGTCTCACTTGAACTTCCTTACGTGACGAAGCAGAAGGGTGGAGAGAGTACAGATCGACAAAGCAGCAGCGGCCGTTATTACCGAGAAGGCGACACCGATAAATGCAGCCATGCCACGTGTCATCTTTGGAAAAACCGGGGCTGGCCCAGTTGCCAGGCAAGGCGGATGCCAAGACGTCTTTACCAACAGTGACCATTTCAGCATGCCCGGAACATACCCAGCGCTGTCGGGTGGCTGGACATTAGTGGGTTTTAAGGTTGGCTGAAGGAGAATCTTTTCAGCATGCTGAAGTCTCTTTCAATCATCTGGTGCAACAAGAGACCCAGTGATCTGGTTCATCTTCATAACGAACAGGGAAGGTGAAACCCCCCCTTTAAGTGCTGCTTTGGTCCATCACTGATTGACAAGTGGGTCAGTCACCTCAAGGCAAGTTATTGAACTGCCCCAGCAAGCTCAAAGAACAAGAGCTATACCATTTGATTTAAAGCTGTGTTTTTCATGGATTACGCTGGATCCTCTCTCTCCACCACCACCCCTCCCTACCCAGGATGTCCCTTGGCTCCCATGTTTGATATTATTTACCAGCACTTTATTTTTGGTCCTTGCCAATAAAGCAGGGATCACAAAAGAACAGAGTTGCTGTTTCTCAAGGACTCTTCACCGTGCAAGTGTTCACTTCTCCCCCCCACTAATTAGTTCTCAGCAATCCTGCTATCCCCATAAATATGGCATCTCATAAGGCCTGGTACTTAAAATCGTTTGAAGAAAGACGTTGCCTTAAGTCAAATGAAGGGAGAGCAGCAGCAGGCGAAGTGGAAATGCTGCGTCTCCATCTGGAAGTGCAGAAGTTGCTTGGTAAGTCCTCCGAGTTCAACCTGCCGTCCCTCCATCCTGGTGTGCAGTGCTCAGACTGCCAAGAAAACCAAACAGTAATGCCTCTGGAAAATGGGATACTGCAATAGGTGAACAGGCCACAAGAGGAATGAACTAAATCAGAGTCTGGACTAAATCCAATGCGATCAAGCCTTCAAATTAGCGATTCTGATTTTCTTTCCTTCTCCTTTCGCTCCAGTTTTTCAAACTGCATTTCCTTTAATTGCCTGCTTCAAGCATGAGTTTCCAGCCCGAGAAGCAGACCCAGATGACTGTTTGCCCCTCTGTCATTTCAAAGGAGCAACAGGCAGCTGCAATTTTCAAGGAGCATTTGTGAAAGATAAACGGAGACTGAAAAGGCCCCAAGCAGATTAGTAATTTCCATGTTGCACCATTTCCCTTGCAGGACAAGCTGCAGCCCCATGCTGCTCTGCCTAAGTTATAGCGCACAGCATTCGTGGTGCAGAAGGGTTTAGCTGTCTGATGTCTAAGCAAAGGCTTCGGAGGGCTGAGCTAATGTACGTCACATCTGAATGCCATAAATATGGAAAGGGAACCTGTGGAAAGCAAGGCAAGAGTACTGGATAAGGTGCTGATCATCTGAATGTCACTTGGGGCATAACAAAACATGGGCTTGGTGTACGTGGGCTGCCTGGAACAGGAAATCAATTGGCTTTTGATTTTTTCTCTTGCTCGGAATTAAATATGGACCTCCTGGCTCACCACACGTCCAACACAGCGGACAGCAAATCAGTCGCAGGCTTCCCTTGAATGTCAGAGGCCAGACCACAATAACTTAGTGACCACCCATGCCACCCAAACCATTTTGCATGATACCAGCGTCTAAATTTCTCCTGTTCTAATCTTCTTCTTTCTTTGTCACCAAGCTGCATTTCCAGTGTATCATTTCGTGTCCTAACTTACTGTTGTTTCCGGGTATCAAAAGGGTCTCTACTTTCAGTAAAATCTCCCTCTTTTTAAAAAAGCAGCGGGACACAAGGAGGTTGTTTCTTGGATGGTGGCACTGCAGAACAAAGAACAAAGTCAAGAAAAGCGGGATCTTATTATCCCTTCTTTTGGAGCAATGGCTGAACCATGTCATCAATGCTTGCTGCCCTCAGTGCCCAGTGCGTGTGCCACTCCTGCCCTGCCAATGAACTCGTGAGCGTGTACAATGAATGGAGTGAAAATCTAAAGGGAGCATCTGAATGGGCCTCAGACACATTAGTAGCCAGCAGGCTCCATCCATACCCTGTACAAGAGGCTGCAGCCCCTTGCTGTTCCCAACATCCAGGCTGCACAAGACCTTTGCCACCTGACATGACGGCGGTGTCTCTCACCTGCCTGCTGGCTTGTGGAACGTGATGTAAGTGCCTAGGGGAGTAAGAAGTGCCACTTACTGGGTCACACCGTAAGTCCATCTTGCCCAGTCTCCCGTGTCACACAGGGGCAGGGAGTGGATACCGAAAGGAAAAATGAACAGGATCTGACAGGGCTTTTCCCCCATTGTCTCTCTAACTTGCAGTCTCCAGCATTTCAGGTCTAGGAAGTTCTGATTCAGAAGCTGTACCCTGAACTCCCAGGCTCGATAGCTACCGATGCCCCTGTCCTCCAAGAATTTGCCCTACCCCTTTTTGAAGCTGGCCGAGCTGTCGGCGTCCACAGCATCTGAGTTCCACCCTTCAATGGCACGCTTTTGGTTTTAAACTTCCTATCCGCTAGTTTCACTTTGTGACCCCTGGTTCTCGTTTTGTGAGAGAGTCACTGATAAATCCCTATCACTTTCTCTTCTCCATTTAGTATTTTGTAAACTCTTATCTGGTCCCCACGCTAGCATCTGTTTGTTTAAACTGTATAGGCCTGGCCTCTTTAGTCTTTCATCATACCAAAGCCCCTCTATGCCACTCCATACCAAATACAGTCACATTGTGGTTTAGTGGATGTTTCCTCAGGTGTGCTTTGTGCATACCAAATGTTAATCCTCTGCACATGCATGCAGGAGAAAGAACAAGTCTGCACAGAGGCACTGACAAGCATGAAGTATTTAACCAGCATGAGTCAAGTCCCTTCAGCTGCTGACAGCTGCTCAGGCCCCATTCAGGATGCGGGGAGAGCAGGGGCCCAGCTCAGCTCTGCATTTACACATGCTTCCGTCTGGGGTTTGTCAGAGGCATCAGGGGCCCAGGCCAGAGCCGTCAGGGGACCCCAGGCCCTGCACGGGTGGATGGGGGTTAAAGTGGTGCAGTTGCAGCCCCCCCTCTGATTCCTGCTCCACCCAAACTTCACAACCAGCTGCCTGGGAGAGGCAGCAGCATTTCTATTCAGGCAGAGCTGAGTCAATTAACTTCATGGCTCATCATCATCTACCTGATCCCTGCTAATCTCTCTTCACTTCACAAGATAATGACCCTCTCTCCTTTTTAATGGTCTTTGTGTTCCACTATTCAAACCGCCCTGTCTTCTGCCCCCTTGCTGTCTGTCAGCTATTCCTGGAAATGTCTCTATTTCTCAGCCCTGCAGATGGTTTGTACCTATAGCTAAAATCCTGAACACAGGTGCACTACTGTTAACTCAGGTGCAGAAATGATTGACGCTGAAGTGTTGGAGCCAATGCCAAAAACACTCAGGAAGACTAGGTTTTGCTTTATGAATCGGAAGAGACGTACATTTAACCAGAATGACCACAGGACCCGTGAAACAGTATCTTTCACTATTGTTTTTGTTGCCTAGGTTGTGTTTTTTTTTAAACTGAACATATAATCTAGAAAACTAAGGCACGTTCCAATGAAGTTATATTTGCTTCTGCTTTGATTTCAAGCTGAATAACGCAGGCCTGGGGCCCTAGCATATTAGTAAACCTTCTAGTGTCTCTTTTCTGAGAAAAATAGGTGTTATAGTTATACCTGATGATGCTGCACTGCATATGTACCTCCCTTTTCAAAAATCCCAGATCTGCCCATGAGCCTTTGCTATAGGAAGCCTGCATGGAGCTGCCCCTCATGCTCTAGCCCGTGGCTCCGTAAGAGGGCACCACCTTCTGCCTCCTTTGCCTCAGACTTTCTTGTGCCTGGCAAAACACTGCCCTTTGGGCATGCCCTGGCCATTTCAGGGCTGCTGAAAGGTTGGCTATTTCTGAGCCTGCTTGTGCCTCCATGCACATCTCCCTACCTCCTCCCAGGGTGCCTCCTGGCTGGGGCAGCTGGAGGGGGCCAGGCCACCCAGGGGTGATGCCAGTGCCTGCTGGGGGCTGGCAGAGAGGCGGGGCAGGGGCAGCTCTGTGCTTGGCGTGCCTGTCTCCAGGGCTGTCTGCCCTCCTCCAGCCGCATCCTCCCTCCTCCTCCTCCTCCTCCTCCTCCTGCTGCTGCCACTGCTCAGACGCAGAGCTGCAGCCAGACAGTGCAGCCACCGCCGCCCGCCCGCCGCCATGGCCAGGAACCGCAAGGAGAGGAACAGCTGGGGTAGGAGACAGCATCCCCCCCTGCTCTGTGCACCGCGGGGTGGGCTGGGGGTGCCCGGCTTTGTTCTGCTGCAGGCTGGGCGGGGAGCATCAGCTGCTTGGGCCTGGGTGGAAGGCCAGCCTGGGCTGGCCTGGGGAGGGTAGGGAGGGGGAGCAAAGCCAGCAGCTCCCTCCATCCATCCCCCCTGCTGCCCCCCCTCTGCAGCAGGGAGGCTGCCCCAGAGGCCACAGCTTGTGGGAGCTGGCAGGGATGGGGGGATCTTGGGAAGACCCCCGCCTGCAAGGTGTGGAGAGCAGAGACCCCCCCAGAACCTGCTCTGCGCTCAGAGGGTGCCGGGGGAGGTGGGGGGCTTCGGAGGGGCTGGCAGTGCCTAGGAGGGGATGCCACGGTGCCCGCAAGGGGGTCTCCAGGTACGGGCTTCGGTGGATGCCGTGTAGGTGTAGCTTCTGGGGGCAGTACCAGGGAGCTGTGCCCGTCTGCCAGCTGCTCTGGGCGCTGGGAGACAGCTCCCTGTGGCTCAGGGGGTCGGGTTGTGTCTGGCTGCTCTGTGCAGCAGCCTTTCCAGACAGCCAGGCCTGCATCTGTCCCTGCCGTGGCATCCCCGGCCCCCTCACTGCTCCTGTAGAGCATCCTTTCCAGACAGCCAGGATTGCGCTTGTTCCCCCCATGGCAGCTGCAGCCCCCTCACTGCTCCCCAGCACCCCAGAGAAACCACTTCTCCGCTCAGGGGGTGAGGGGTGAAGTCTCTGAATTTGGCCTTCCTCGACCTGCGATGCTGGAGGCTGCAAAGGGGAGAGGAACAGAGGAAAAACCCCGGCTCAGACCCAGGTCACTCCCTCTCGGCCCATGTGACACAGGAGACTGGGCAGGATGGACCTAGGTCTGACCCAGGCAGCGCAGTCCTTATGCTTTCTGTGCCAGGCGGGCTGGGTCCTCAGGCTCTCCCTGCTCCTTTAACCCCCGGGGCCGGTTGAGAGAGAGCCTGGGAGATCCCCCCCGACCTGTCGTGGAAGCAGGGGCTCTGGGGCTCATCTCACCTTGGCTTTTCTTCACCCAGCTCCCGTGCTTGTGTTCTCCGGTAGGGTCCCGGCCCCTTTTGCAGCTGCTTCTGGGATGCTTTCTATCCCACGCTTTCCTACAGCCCCTCTCTCACCTGGGACCAGCCTCCCCGGCCTCTGCTGCAGGTGCAAGTCCCAGGCCAGTCTGTCTCCTGTGTTGTAAACCGAGGCAGCCCTGCCCTGTCCAAAGGAATGACAGGCTCTGGAGAGATGCTCCCCAGCGGCGCGCACCCCTCTGCGTGTGGGGGTTGGCACGGGAGGTGTCGCGCCGTGCCGGGGAATGCAACCTGCCCTGCAGCAGCGGGGAAGCTGGGGAGCAAGCCGCCAGGGCTGGGCCGGGCCTTTCTGGCCCAGCCTGGGAGCACGGTGGCTGCCTGGCCCCAGGAGCAGGGATGGGGGAGCAGAACTATCATTCTGGTGCTGTTCCCTGCTGGCTCCAGGGCACCAGGAAACGGTGGCAGCCCTTTCCCTGGTGCAGCTAGCATTTCTCCTCTGGGGTGCCTCAGCTGCAGCGGCTGGCGCATCTGGGGCGGAGGAGGAACGGCAGCAACAGCGGCAGCCGCCGTCATCCTCAAGCAGGTGTCGGGGACACAGCTAACCTGCATATGCTCTCATTTAGGAGACTGCTTTTTGACCTCCACGGGCAGCTGGGCTCACGGTTGATCCCCCAGTGATTCGCTTTTGGCATGATGTGTTTCTTCAGGGCTGTCAGCGATGCATTCCCCTCTTAGCGGAGCTTTTTTTTTTTTCAGAGTGATTGCCCATTGTTTAATGCTCCTGAAAGAGAGAATGGGTGCAGAGGTAGTCCCTGTACGCTCGTCAGTGCTAATGGAGCGCTGTCTTTGGGAACGGTCCTCCCAGGCTCAGGTGGCGAGCAAGGCTGTGCCGGTCGGAGCACCCAAATGACACCTTAATGAGTAGACGGGAGTGTTGTGTTTCTGACTCCAATGAATCAGCTGAGGATTTGCTGAAGAAACTGGAACAGCAACTGGTGTAACGGATGCAAATGGAGGATTTGGTTGGCAGGCAACATTTGTTGCATCAGTTATGTGTTAAATTTTCATGGGCGCATACGAGATGCTTGCTCAGTCTGTCCTCAGGAAGGGCTCCCGGTGGCTTTTCTGATGGAGATCGAGTTAGTAAAATACAAATCACTCCTCCTCACAAGGAGAGGAGTGCTGCACAAAAAGCCGTGTTTTGTTCCCCCCACGGTGGGGGGACACACACGGCACGGCACATGGCAGGCATGGAGGAAAAGGAACGTTTAAATGACTGTACAAATGGGGAAAAAAAAGAAAATGACAGGATATAATTGAATAAGTAAGGCCTCAATTCAGCTACTCAGTGCAATACAGCTTAACCGTAAACCCCTTGTAAAATCCTTTTTAGTGAAATGTGACTTGGCACGTGCTCCGCTGAATGACAGCTGAGCTGGGGTCTGGTAAGTTTGCAAGTACCCAGGACCAGCGCGAATCTAAAGCAGTGATTCTCAACCAGCGGGCCTTGAGATCCTTTCAAGGGTGCCGCAGAGCACCAGGGTGAGCACTGTCAGGTGTGCAAACACGATTCACAAGATAAAGCCGGCGATTCCAAGCAGGAAACCATAGTATTAAAACCACTCTGTTCTGCGGTGGGTTCTCTGAGCTCTTTGCAGTGGAAGAATTGCTCTAGTATTTTCCCGTAGCAAAAAAAATGAGTGAAAATGAAAAGCTGGCATTTTCCAAAGGGGTGTCTGGAGCCTAAACAGGTTGAGAATCACTAATCAAAAGGGACCTTTCTTCTAGAAACAGGATCAGCCGCCTTTTGCTGCATTCCAACAACCGATCAAAACCAAAGCCTCTGTGGCTGCTATATCCTTATCCTATGATTTCCCATACGCTTAGTCATGCTTGCTGATATTGCAGGCATAAATCAGGGAATTAATTGCTGGTGCTGTTTATTAGCCAGAGGCCCCCTAGAATATAAATGCACATTTATACAACGGAAACTGTGACCTCCCTCCATGATGTGCTTTTGCTCTAAAAGAGGCTGCAAATACCGTGTAGTGACATCAGTCTTTGTAATGACTCTTTCAGGGCTCGTTTCTTTAACCCAGCTGGCAACGCAGCAGACTAGAGCTCTTTACGTGCAGGCCTGTCTGTAAGTGGAGGCAGAAAGCTCCTCGCAGCGTTTAAAAATGTGTGCATGGGTCATAAAGAACATTACATGGTTTGGAAATAGCACAGACTTTGTTCTAGTTACCTCCCATTCATCAGGGCTGACAATTCAACAGCTTGCTGCTGGATATGACCCTGCCACTCCTTTTGTTCCTTTGTTTAAAAAAAAAAAAAATCTGTTTTGAAGATCAGAGATCAAATTAGGGGAAAGAAACAATTGTGCGGATCCCAAAATGATTGCCGGCATTTCCCATCCACCTGCATCTACCCCAGCAAGCGCTCTACTCTGGGGGTTGTTCATTAAGGCTGAAATTGGCCCTGGGCAGAGGATCGACAGGAGGGGCGTGTCATTTAAACCTCACGCAGCTCATCGTGAGAAGTGGTGGTTAGGCCTTGGGTTGCCATCTGTTGTGGAGCAAATGCCCCCCTTCAGAAGGTGCTGTTAAGAGCACACTTTTTTTTTTCTTTGCTTGCCAACAGCAAGGTTTTGTCTAAACGAGGACTGCTAGACGGAGCCCTAATTGGTCCTGTAAGACTCGGCAAGCTGGAGCGCGGCCGACAGGAGGTCAGCCATGCTCCCTCTGAAATCCTTTTTAATTTTTAACTTGCCTATTTCAGCTGCCTGCCTCCCATTAGGGTCATGCTCGAGCGCTCTGCTCCTCCCAGTTCATAATGCGCTCGCTAAAAAAAGCACAGACTGGAGCAGGGCATATACGGGTCTCAGTCTCTGCGCCCGTCAATGTGGGACAAGTTGTAATCAGGGCGGCCCAGAGAAGAACAACGATTCGGTTTTCCGAACTAGAAAAAGGGATGCGTCATGGTTGAGCCTGGCTTTCGGAAAAGGCAGAGTCCCCACCTGGGGAACAGAAGGGCCTAGCCCAAGTGCCTCGGGGACGCTTTTAGGAGGTTTGGAAGCCCACCTTACAGCATTGGCTTAGGAGCCGTGAGTTGGGTTGTTTTCTTTTTTTGCGTAGTAGGTGTCAAGTCCTCTGTCCCTGCTTTCTGGCTTTCGACTCTAAGGATTTCTGGCAAGAGGATCTTGCTCTTCTGCTCAGGGTCACATCCATCAGGAAGAAGTTCTTCTCCTAGGTCAAACTGGCAAGGCTTTTTTAGGGGTCTGCCTTCCTCTGGGGCATGGTCTTTTGTCTAGGATCCTATGAACATATATTAGAGTGGTCAACCTCTTTTGAACTGAAAACATCCCTCCATAACTCTTGTGAACTGAGTGGCAAGCAATTTCACAACTAACTTTCTATATGATAGTGCTCACTTCCTTTGCAGAGGGGCTGGCATTGGAGGTGGGGGTCCAGGCAGGGGCAAGCCTGAACCTGCACTTATCTGCTTATCTCCTCGCATGCTTCAAAGCGGCCGGCCCGCCAAGGTTTCCCAGCTCCCTGGTTGAGAGTCACAGATATATTAACTACTTCCCTGTTTCTGCAGTGGCAGTGCCCTCATCACCTCTTCTTTTACTTGTTCATGGGGTGATGAAGTAAATGATTGTTCAGCAAAGCTTATTCATCTCTGATTCAGTTCAGTCCAAGGTGCACTCGTATGCTGCCTGCTGTCTCTGGGGTGTTTTGGCATTTCAGGTTTTGTTCCTTGTAGTTGTAGAGGACAGTTCAGAGCAAGGGTTGTCAGTAGCCTGAGCACGCAGGGGAATGACCTCCGTGGCCCAGACCTATAATCCTGCGTTCTCCAACAGTGTATGTCGAGTCCTCTCTTTTTGTCTTCTGCTTCCCAACCTGGTAGGGACATCAAAGCAAGTTTACAGGCATTTCCTTGCAAC